CTTTCTGCCCCTGTGCCCCCCTCACCACCTCACCACTCTGCCCCCAGGAGCTGTCGCTGCTGCCGCTGACGGAGCCGACCATCACAGCCAACTTCAGCCTCTTTGCGCCCTTCGGCAGCAGCCCCATCAACGGGAAGAGCCAACTGCGGGGCGCCTTCGGCAGCGCCGTGCTCGACAGCGTCCCTGACTACTACTCCCAGCTGCTCACCAAGGTGAGGGAAGGGGTTCTTCACCTGTTGTCCCCTCAGTCCGGGGGTCCTGGACCACCCTGCCGCGCTCACCCCCCTGTCTCCCCCCAGAACAACCTCAGCAACCCGCCCACGCCGCCCTCCTCGCTGCCCCCCACGCCCCCTCCCTCCGTGCAGCAGAAGATGGTGAACGGTGTCACGGCCCCCGAGGAACTGGGTGAGCAGCCCAAGGACACCGACCCAGCCCGCGAGCCCCACGGCCAGAAGGGTAAGCCTGGCTGGCACAGGGGTGGCACAGAGTCCCTGCCACCGCCTGTCACCCTCCCGTGACACCCGTCCCTTCCGCACAGACGCACCGGCTGTGGAGGTGAAGAGCCTGGACCTGCTGGCAGCTCTGCCCACCCCACCACACAACCAGACTGAGGACGTCAGGTGAGACCCCGGGGGCCAGGGTGACCTCCCGTGAGTGACACCAGCCCCCCCAGGGGTCACAGCAGCCCGTGGCCCCTGACACCTCCTTCCCTTCAGGATGGAGAGCGACGATGAGAGCGACTCCCCTGACAGCATCGTCCCTGCCTCGTCCCCCGAGAGCGTCCTGGGCGAGGAGCTGCTGCGATTCCCGCTGCTCAGCGAGGCCAAGCCAGAGCTGGAGGAGCGTGTGCTGTCTCCCATCATCCCCATCATCCCCCGGGCCAGTATCCCAGGTGGAATAGGCTGGGGATGGTGCATGGACCAGGGCAGGAGTGGTCTGTGGTCCGTACGGACCGAGCAGGAGGGGTTCAGTGGGATGTACAGTGCAGGGAAGGGGGTCTGGAGGGCACGTGTTGGGTAGGAAGGGATATGGGTGGGGCAAGAGGGGGTTCCTGGGATTTTGGACAGCAGGGGAAGGGTCCTTGGGGTGTGTGGGCTGAGGGAAATGGGTCTGGGAGGGGGTTGATGGATTCCCTGCAGGGGTCTGGGGCAGCTGGGTGGGGTCAGAGGTGGCTGTTGGGGTGTCTGTGCAGCTCTGACCCCTCCCTCTCCCCACACCAGTGTTCCCTGACACGAAACCCTACGAGGCTGCAGAGCCCTTTGGGGCCCCCCCAGGGAAGGTGGGGGCAGCAGGCCCAGGAGCCCCGTGGGAGAAGGGCAAGAGCAGCGAGGTCTCTGTCATGCTGACGGTGTCCGCGGCGGCTGCCAAGGTGAGCGAGGGGACGGGGGGACGCTCCGGGGTCCTGGCGGTGGCCCCACATGGTGGCATCTGGGGCACCCTGGACCCATCCCATCCTTCTCTATCCCAGAACCTCAATGGGGTGATGGTGGCCATGGCTGAGCTGCTGAGTGTGAAGATCCCCAGCTCCTACGAGGTGCTGTTCCCTGACGGCCCCGTGCGAGTGGCCGTGGTCGAGGCCAAGAAGGTGGAGGCTGATATGGCCGGTGAGTGTCCTCCTTGTCCCTGTGGGCCCCCCGCAGCCCCAGGCTGGGCCCCTCCCCGTGATGGGCTGTGCCTCTCTCTTCCAGGGATGCTCGGAGGGAAGGAGAAGGCACTGG